CTAAAAGCAGACAATCTGTTAGCTAAGAGTTAACATCAGTCCTGAATGTTCAGTTACTCCGGAAGTTGTTTATATATTACATTTATATCTAGAAGATCTTATTGAATCATTGTCCTCCTTTATATTAATTAACAAGACAAAGAGTCTACAGTCGTCATGCTAACGGGACTGTTGAGGCTGTACTTTGGCTTTGCTTTGAGCTAAATGCTAAGATCAGAATGCTCACAATCACAGTGTTAACATACTGACATTTAGCATGTTATGTTTACCATGTTCACCATCTTGGCTGACCATGTTACCATGCTGGCATTCAGCTAGTACAGCTGTGGATGATGCAAATGTCATTTTTGTTGCGGGTATTTGATCATAAACCAAGGTATTGAAAATTTTTAACCAGACGAGGAACAACAGGAAAAGAAAGGGGATCTGCAGACTTGTTAAGATTCTTCAGTCTGAAAGCCGTTAATGGTTAGACTCGTGAGTCACATGGCTATATGATAATTGCCAAATTTGTTGCATAAGACTCTACTGTAGATCCTCACTTTTCTGATGATCTTATATTGTGGACGATCTTACTTTGGCATATGATCTACTTTTCAAATGAACTGTACAGATCGTGTCATTAAAAGGTACTATATTTAGATATTTCATTTTAAAAGTTGAATCGCTGCTAACCGGCCCATTGTTAACTGTTAAACAGATAGAACGCTAACTGCAGCTGGTGACGGCTGTCCTTGTTCTGCTCTGCAGCCTCAGTGAGCTTTGTATAGCGCCACATCTACAAGTTCTCCAGCTGCAGTCCAAGACAATGTAGTTACAGTCTGGCCACGGGAAGAGAGACCGCCTGCAGACTGGGAACCACAAGGCAGGACGAGCTGGGGCAGTGACCGAACTTTCTAATTAAAATCCAAACAAATTCTCCGTATGAACTAAGAAAGACACAAATTACAACTTCCAGTCAGGACTTTCACAATAAAATCAAAGCATAAGATTCAGATCATGATTCAGATCATGGCTTGCAATTCTACCCAAAAAAAAATTGTCTATATGATCTTTATGACCCGATCGCCCACCGCCAGTTGACCATACTAGACTGGAGAATAGTATCAAAGTGAATGAACTAATATGAATTGTTTGATCTTTCTCAAAAAAATAGCCCATTTTTCTTCCACATTACATCCAGAGAGTTACTGTCCACCTTTTGTTCTTGCTATTCAAACATTTGGAGTCCGTACAGGCAATATTGGATGAAGGCCTTAAAAAAAAAATCTTTCTTTGCTTCTACTTAAATTTCAGAGTGAGGAACGCTTGACCGATCGAGCGAGGAATGCTCTGCCGATTGAAATTACTACCAAAGCCCCTGGAGCATTGATCTCAATTTCTGCAGGTTTGGGTAAACAGCACCTTATACGCCTACAAATCAAGTAATTAACACTTAAAACAGAACTGAGCCTCAGCAGGATCAAGGCCGGATGGTGCATTTAATATGAGCCCTATGACGAATTCAAACGGAGATATTGTGGAATAGAAGCGAGGAGAAGAGAAGGAGAAATGATCATTTGAACTCTGTCTGGTCTCAGGGTGGCGAGGAGGTGCCCTCTGAATCACTAATGAGACAAGTAGACACAGTGTGACATTGACACCCTCCTTCTAAGTACGAATCTCCTGCTTTCCTTTTCGCTGTTTTGCCTCCACTTTGTAATCTTTTCAGCCTCCACTTGTTTTCTTCTGGTATTTTGCTGTGTCCTGTTTTATTTATACATCTCTGATCTGTTTTCTTCTCTTGTACTGTGCTCTGTCTCATACTGTTCTTTACTGTTCAGTTGTATTGTCCTCAATTAAACAAGGGGAACAAGTCACTGTACTGACAACCCATTCTCTGTGTACGGCTGCGCCCGAGGCACTTTCTCAGCAGAGGATCCTTTAGGAATAAGAACACAGCTAAAGGTACAGGCGGATGAATATTCAACAGGCAAAAGCAGACAGGCAGACAGACAGAAAAATGTAGATTTTAATAGACAACCAGACACCTGTGTGTTGGAGTCCATCCACCCACAGGCCAGAGGAAGTGCAGTACAGTACTGCTGTAGAAGTTAGTAGCTATAGTCCTGACCTACGACTCCTCATGAGACTTTCTGACCTTTTGGTGAAGGAAGGAAGTTTGACTATAGTTCTTAATATGGTCAGTCCATTACTGGCTTTAAGCTATTTATAAAAATTCATCATTAAAGGAACATACAAATGAAAGTTAATAGTCTGATTTAAGAAGGCTCTTGCAGTCTTCCAAAAAACAATCAGCACTGGCAAAGCTGTTGTTTTACATTGGCTTCAGAAAATATTTAGACGCCTCCACTTTTTGCTTAATTTATTGTGTTGTAGATTTAATTGTAAATGAATAAAACTGCCATTTTTTGCCCATCAATGTACACTCGATAACATAAGAGCAAAATAAACATTTCTTTGCAAAAGTATCCAGACACCTTTGCTGTCACACAAATTGTGATCAGGTGCAGGTATCATTGCGATGTGTCAAGAACTTGATTGGAGTCAAACTGAGTTGACTGGACATATGTTTCGAAAGGCGCAGACCTTTGAATATAAGGTCTCACAATTCACACAAGACACAAGCCATGAAGTCCAAGGAACTCTCTGCAGAGCTCTAAAATAAAGCAGAGATGGAGAACCTGCCAGAGGGACAATCATGTCAGCAGCTCTCCATCAATCAGGCATTTATGGTGGAGTGGCCAGACTGAGGCCACTTTTGAGTAAAAAGCATATGACAGGAATTTGCCAAACAGCTTTTAAAGGACTCTGCAAGCATGAGGAAAAAGCTTCTCTGGTCTGTTCAGATAAAAACTGAACCTTTTAGGCTGAACTCCAAAGACTATGTCTTGAGAACACCAGGCATCACTAATTACAATTACAATACCATCCCAGTGATGAGACATTGTGGCAGAATTATGCTATGGGGGAGCAGCAGGGACAAGGAGACTGGTCAGAACTGAGGCGATGATGAATGCTGCCATATACAGAGAGATGCTTAAGGGAAACCTTTGCAAGATCCAATTCATCCAGCCTGAGACTTGGGCGACACCTTTCAGCAACACTGGAGTGGCTTCGGGACAAAGTCTCTGACTGTGCTTGAGTGTCCCAGCCAAAGGCCAGACTTAAACCCCATAGAGAATCTGTGGAGAGACGTGACGATGGCAGTTCAGAGATGCTTCCCATCCAGTCAGATGGAGCTTGAGAGGATCTGCCACAAACAATGGGATAGACCGCTCAAATCCAGGTGTGCAAAGCTTTCAGAGACTTACCCAAGAAGACTTGCAGCTGTAACTGCTGCCAAAGGGGCTTCTAAAAAGTACAGATTCAAGGATCTGAATACTTTTGGAATGAGACATGTCCGTTTTTTGATTTTTAATCAATTTTCAAAAATCTCTTAACATATGTTTTTACATTATCAGAGCTCAGAGAACTCAAACTGATTACTGCTAATTGTCCAACTTACATGTCAGTGCAAAAATGTTCTACGCCTGGACTGTGGACAGTGTGAATGGTTCTGACAATTAAAAAAAAACTCTTGAAAAGGCATAAAAACACCAACTGAAGCCCATGTTAAACCTTAGCTCATTGTTTACGTGTCGCAAATGTGTGGAAAAACAAAGTGATATGGCTGTACTGAAAGATGTTGGTAAAGTGGAGATGCCTAAGCTAATAGGAGCCACATACAGTAATTATTACATCTAAATCAAACTGGTGTACGATGGTACTCTGAGTGTGCTAACATTGTCCCGGGGGTCTAACTCACTAATAAGTACAACACGCCTCTAGGGATCAAATAACGCACTAATTATTAAAGAAACATCTATTCTGGCACATTATCCTCACACTGCATGTGTGTGTGTGTGTGTGTGTGTGTGTGTGAGAGAAAGAGCGAGAGACAGAAAGAGCAAGATATACAGAGCTCTAAGATTTTCAGGTCTAGATTTCAGGTCTGTATCGGACTCATTTTTTATTCTTTTGTGGTTATCAGTTATTGAATAGAAATAACTTGGCCATTTGTCAACTTTGGTAACTACATAGTAAAGCCACCTGCTTGCTGGCTGATCTAACCTACAGTAGTAAATTCACTATGATATGCATTCCATTATAACAGGAATCGTTTCAACAAATGTTTGTAATGAGTTTTTCAGTTCTATTTTTGTGTGTTTGTGTTTGTCTGTATTTCTGTGTTTTTGTTTTTTAAAAATAGTTTATCCAAGAACACGTTTAGTATGTAATGTGTGAATTGGGATACAATATTTTTTTTACTAGTTTCATGTCTTTCTCTCAGTAATCTCCAAGATGCTTTTTAGATAAGATAAACCTAAAGAAATTCACTTGTTACTGCAGCATAGCAAAGCTGCAGTAACTAGCTGCCACTTTACCGGCGCCATGACCATTTCATTCATTTTGAAGTGATTTAGTGGGGCCTGTGGTATGTGGTGTGGTAAGGTGGTTTTGACACGTCGCTATGATGGGAATTGGGTTGAAAAAATTATAAATTGAAAGATCAATCTCAGGATTTTATGAATCAATATCGGATTTTTCAAATGAAGTTCAAATTGAATCGGAGTATTTATTTTTTTCATCCTGGCCCTGATGTACAATATGTATATGTATGTTGATGCGCACAGCTGCACAGTACATAAGTAAAAAAAAAAAAAAGACAGTAAAAACATTTGATCACACGTGTAAGAGGCTAATTGCCCCGATGTGTTGTTTTTGCCAGAGATTGCATTTCCCAAATTGCCATGTGTTTTCATGGAAATGGTTGTAATGGATAAAATACGGAGAACAGACTGCATGTTGACAAATACTGAAATTTGCATTTAAAGTGTTGTTCAGTGTGTGTCAGTTCCTCTTTTACACTGTGCTTCTTTAGCATCTTTTTTCAAGATGCTATCACAAATTCAACACACACACACACACACACACACGAAGTAGATGTAATAATTTACCCAGTAAGGCCATGAAGCAGATACAGATTGCGAAGAGGGAGCTGAAGCTCAGGCCCACATCCTCCCTGTAGATGGCCAGTGGCGTCTCGCAGTGGCGCCCTCTGTAGCCCTCCGGGCAGTGGCAGGTGAATTTGGAGGGTGACTGTGCCACGCAGGTTCCCCGGTGACAGGGCCGTGTGGCGCAGAGAGTGTAGACACAGGACTTTCTGGAGCCGTTCACACGGATCATGTGGCCAGGAGGACATCTGCAAAGAAGGGTTGGACAGGGACAAACAGGGAGACGAACAAGAGAGTCATAAATTACATGTAGATTAAGATCACTTGGATGCACATGGCACCAGATTTGATTAGATCAATGTGTAATAATCCCTCTGAGGGACTTTGTCATTACAGAAGCAGTTACAGATGCATCAAAGAGAACAATAGCATGTACATGAAAATAGAGGAACAAGGGGGATAAAGCAAATCATATTGGACAGCTGCAGCATTAGGAGATACAGTGAGGATGAGCACGGACATACAGGATAAAGGAATGTGTGATTTAACAATGTTTATAACCATTTCCCACAGCGAAAAACATCAATTACTGTCCTTTAATCAATGGTCTCACGCAGATGTACACCTCAGTAGAGAATGAATCGGAGGGGATGAAAACGCTGACTGTGGTAGTGGCAGTAACTAGGATGATTTTATGCAGACAGGGGCACATTTTCTGCCTCACTTCAGAAAGCACCACTATAATTAAAAGCTCATTTGGGTGTAACAGCTCAAACAAACATTTTATGAGCCCATTAATTCAGTATTCCATTCAGTGTGTATAGAGCAGCTCCAGGCTGTACATTTCGATGACATCAGAGATGAGTCTTGCCTCTGGTCTCCGGAGATTTGTTCATGCTTATAAATATTGACTCAACTTAACTATGAAATAGCAACATTAAATTGAAAATGGCACAGTAATTTATCTCATAATTGTTCATCTTTCACCATAGAACTAATCCAGACAAGAGACGCAAAGGTTAACTTACTGCATCTCCTGCAAAAACTATCTTGCTAATTGTGCGTTCATATTTCAAAGGTTTGGGATGTTGGGACGGGTGGCTGAGCAGCTAACTTCCCGTCTGTATGCCTTGTCTCATGTTAGTCCATCTTAGGCATTTTTAATTTGCGACCATAATCTTCCCCTCACCTTTGGTGTCACCTGAGTAGCTGGGGCTTTTGTTTTAATTATTATGTCTGAGCTTTCATTCCATTTTCTTTTAATTGACCTGCTCTTAAACCACATGTCCACAGTCTGGTCCCATGTCCATATTTGATTGTTCATTGTTTATGCAGATTAACCGTTGGCTTCATCCACATTTCCTCTCAAATGTCACGCTGATCATTTTTGGCATTAATCACAAAACATAAACTGTAAACCGCCGTAGCTTGTGAGCAGGCAGCGAAGCAAAACAGTAGGTTACACTGAAGTCCAACAACACTGTGCAGAACAGTGTTGACTCAACCGAGCGGACTTGATGTCGAAAACAACACATGTAAATTACTCGCTGCTAGGCTTTGTGGCCACTCACGGAGAAACAATAAATATAAAACGAGGTGACGCTTTTGGACCACTCTTTGATAAAGGCTGAGATAGACAATGCAAGATTCAGAAAATATATCGTATCTATACATATATTACTATATAGTAATATATATCTACTGTACAGCATAGTTAGGAAAAAAAGATCAGCAAGAAATGTAAAATAAACTATAGGTTATTTGTAGTTAAGAGGCTAAACCTTGATCAAACACTGGCACGGTCCATTAGCGCTGTATTTTACCCTTTTGTCCCCACTCTGGAGCAGCGGCACAAGCTATAATCACAACACCAACATATTATCGCCATATAAAGCTGTTACGGTAAATGTGTCAGGAAACAGTGGCCTGTCTGCGGTACACATGAAGCAGACACATTAGCATTCAGTTGGAGTTTTGTATCTGGCCAACCTGCCAACAAACATAAGTCCGGTCTCATTTTCTCTAATTTTAACTCCTCCACCAACTCCTGAGAAAAATGTCTGGCTCTTTAGCTGCTAAATGCTCCACTATGTTCAACAGCTAATGGCTAGGTTTGTGTGATGCTGTCAGTTCTGGTCAGGCAGCGTACAGTGGGTTTATCACAAGTTTTTCTTTGTGTGAAAAAACAGCTCTCTGCTGCTGCTGGTAATGGGGTTGATGAATGTGGTGGGACTGAAAGTGGTGCGCCAGAAGAAGAGAACACACTGTAAAATAGTAACATTTCTTTCCCTCTATCTACAGCAGGACTGATTTTATGGATTTACTGATTGCTTTTACAGCAGCTTTTCAGTACATTCGTTCCTATGAGAGCCGTCTTCTAGTGATTAGAACTGAGACTAAATGTCGTTTCACTTAAGAGACAATACAAAGTGGAATCAGGATCATTCTTTAAAATCACTGTTCATAATTACTGTTCTTAGTGCAGTTGTAAATGCCAACTATCTTGATAATGTGAGGAAAAACACACACCTACTGTAACAGTTTGAAGCACATTTTAAAAGGTAATTAGCTGTGGGTGGAATTTTAATGCGATAACAAAAGCTCAGCGATCAGTATTTATTATGCCCGGCTGGAGTCTGAGTAGGTGTTGAATACAGGACACCTGTCACTGAACTAGTCAACAATGCTTCTCTTCTCTGCTCCTTCTTATCGTTGCCTGTCATTAGCCATCACTGGAATAAGAGCCGTGACGAGTGTCTTATCGAAACCAAGGTGAGCACGCACGCACACTGGCAGTAATTAGCGACAGGTGTTGTGTGTTGTGGGAGTTTCTAAAGGCTGATTGCAAATTTCATTTTAACCAAATTTCATAGACAAGTACCACCACCAACAATAATAATAACTAGTAATAATAAAATGTCACACAAGTTGTGCTTTTATACACTAATTTTCAACATGATTTTTTCTTTTTTTCTTCAAAGCAATCTAGTTGATGATTTGTCACTAGAAGATTTTATCAGATATATACAGTGGCTTCAGGAAGTATTCAGACTTCTTCATTTTCTGCACACTCTCTTGTGTTATCCATTTAATTTTAGAAAGAAAGAAAAGCTTGACAGATCTGGTGTGCCCTGTTATGGTTTGCTAAACTATGACTTGACAATCGTTGCTATCATTTATTATTATAATTGATAATAATTATTATTTATTATTAATATTATTAATATTATACTTACAACAAAAATCTGTGACAAATCAGTGTTTGTGTGTTTTTTGAGCCTCAGGTAGAAGAATTATTCACACTATGTATGTCATTATTAGACTTTTTGACTGTGTCTCCTTAGAATGATCAAACACTTACTGCTCTTAAATCATTTTCCAAGGTCCAGGTCAAGTATGTAAAGTGGACAAAGTGAACAAGTAAGTGGGGTGAGGATGGAGGGGGAGACTGTGAGTGTGTATGTATGTGTGTTTATATGTGAGTGAGTGGTAGGTGTGTGTGTCAGTGGCACAGGGGTTAAAAAAACTGAGCAGGAGTGTGCAAGATAAGAGCCATACAAACCAAGAAACGGAGACGCAGAGTGCGAGAGTGAGAGCCATTGTTAAAAAAAAATAAAAAATAAAAAAATAGGTTGGTGGTTAGATGATGTGGGTGAGTGGATCAGAGGAGTAGAAAAATGGGAGGGGTAAATTAAAATCTAGGAGGCTGCAGAGACTGAATGGAGGCTGATGTTTTTCCCGTGGCAGAAAAACTGCTGAGATTAGTGTATGTGGCTAAGAGCACTCCGTGTTTGATTCAGTGTGTGCCACAGGAGAAGGCTGTTTCTTTGCACGACATTTCCCATTTCCCGCTGACAAACAAACCCTCATACAGAAAGTCATTTTAGTAGTGCATGCGAAATGTTGATCAAGCAAAAATGCGAATCCCATCAGGGTCAAAGGGCTGGGAAAATAATTTATTTTCACCTCCTACATTTTTAGCTGTTTAGCTAAGTGACGGAGCAGGTGGGGGTTCACTGCCTTATTCTTTTTATCTTTTAAAGGGAGACGTGGCTGCTGCTAAACACACTGGCTCTTATGGGGTTTTAACTTTTGAAAATCCCCCTGAGGCCACATTTAGACTCACAAAATATCAAAAAAAGGGTCAAAAGTTGATCCTGGATCCAACTTCTGCTGCGGTATACTTTCATGTCAGCCAGAAAAAGCACTGCATTAGCCAATCTCGTTTACCTCACAAATACTGAGGCAGAGAAGAAAGAAGAAAAGTTCCTGCTGTAGTTACGACCTGCCAGAGTTGTACAATCCCCCGTCTAAGAGAATAACCTGCTGCCTGTCTCATTATGTTTGATAAGCCTTAAAATTGGACACCCTCAGTATTTCATCATCTCACCAATAACGCGCAGCAGCAAACACACACCACAGCACAGCCTCTAACAACTAATGCCTACCACACTCTAGAGGACTTAGAAAAGACTTTTAAAAGATTAAAGTCTGACATCCTCTCACATCTAAAGACAGTGTGTCATAAGTTTTAGACTGGATATCTTGCAGGGTCACTATTTGCCAGACTAGATCCCTTTGAGATTATTTCCCATCATGCTCCTGGTGGACATTTACAGGAAGAAAAACAGTTTTTTTCCAGACTTTTTTGCTATTTGTAAATCTACATTATTATTATAATTATTACCATAACTATTATATGAAGTTAGTAACTCAACACTATTATTATTATAAAGAGAAGGTGTAGACCTGGAAAGTACCTTGAGATAACGTATGTTGTGAATTGGCGCTGTACGAATAAAAATTTACTTGAACACTATAATTATCATGATCTATGTGTTGGACTTTGTACTTATGATTCCCTGTTTTATTTTGAAATTATTTTCCTTGTCGCCTATTACCCTTGCCTCCCGTATGTATTTAATACCAGCCTTTCACCTAACCGCTCACATTCTTTCTCCTCCCTTAAGTCGCGTCCATGCTCACTATCAACTCAGTCTGCTGCTTCCTTTTTGCTGCTGCAGAAGTCGACAGTGTTCATGTCATTGAACGTCACTATTTGCATGAGTCAAGTCTAAAAACTCATGATACTCCCAAACATGTTTGATTTTATCTGAACGTCAAGATGAAAAATTGACTGACTTGAGACAGCTCTGACAATCACATTTGAAATTTGTCTGTGACAGTGAAATTGCTTGAAAAGTCATTTGGTGTAAGGCCGGTATTAGCATCCCTGGTATACACCCAAGTTTCTAATGTCCACTTGAACTATTTGGTGCTTTTTGAGTTTATCTGGACAGTTCTGCCAAAATCTGGCAGCCTGTTGCACCTGCAGATGTGCAGTTATGCAGCAACCGGTCAAAATGAAGGTGTGACGTCATATGATGCACTGACTGACTTTGAAGCTGCTCCACAGTATTTCTCCTCCGTCAGCTCGGGAGCGGTGGAACAGCGCTGATGCGAGTTCACATGACACCCTGCCCATGACTAAGAGGTTAAATGAGTTTACTTGCTCATTTGTTTTTCAAAGAGACGATATCAAATTCAAAAGAAGACAAAATGAAAACATGATTTGTGATAACCTTCAGCCAGTCTGGCACTTGGAGATTGTCTGGTAGTCAAGTCGCCTCACATTTTTGTCATTTCAGCCTCTGGGTTTCAATAAAGAAACCGAGCGGCGAGGCACTATAAAAACAAATTCGTTTAGGCTTTGTATATACACTTACATATAAAACCCTGAAAAACACAGCTAACCAGACAATCTAGAGGAAAAAAGGTAGACTAAGATGAGAAAGAAAGTCGTTACGTTGAGAAAGTCAAATCTCTTTTATCTAGACTGATTGTCCTTAAACCTTGGAAAGGGGAGAGTAAGAGTCTTCTGAGCTGCTGACATGATCAGTAATCACCACAAAATCTTTAAAGGTACACACAAGTGGTTTACTGCTGATTTACTTCTATACAGCTGAGGGACTTGTAAAGACAGGATAAAAAATATTAATCCAAACTGATGCAGCAGAGGTTGAGATATTCTGACTTTTACTCCCTAGACTCGACTCTAAAAATGCTGGATCCTACACTTCCCATGATGCAACTCTGTAGCAAAATTGAGTTAGACCTTAGTAAATGCCCACAGCTTTAAAAAAAAAAACTCCACATCCCCAGTTTTTTATTGAAGGCTTCTGTCAGAAGTTTGTTGTTGCCAAGCCAAAACCTAGACTTCAGAGTGATCCCACCACAGCCAAAAAATTATTATACCACTGTTTTCAGAGGCTTAGAGTCACTTCTCATGACAAGTAAACTGATCCCTGTGTAAAATCTGTGGTTTCAGAAATGCAATACATAACGTTGCTGGTTTCATCTATCAGCTGTCTGTCAGCAGTAATGTGACTTAGAGCTTCATCCAGACATGATAGGAAAGCACTGTGTGCTGGCAAGAGGGAGCAGAGAGTGAGTGAAAGACAGCGAAAAGAGAGAGAGAGAGAGAAAGCACTTCAAATTTATTTTCGGGGCTGTGCTGTACTCATTTTTCACTCACTTGACATTTTTATGTTTTTTTTATCAGAGGGGAGTTAAAAAATGTTATGACAGCAAGGATGAAGATGTTTTTTTTTTGTTCTTTTACAGGCTAAATCAGTGACAGATTTTGACATTTCCAGTTGAAGCTTTAATTAATGACCATTGTCATGAGCGCATGGTCCCACCATGGTCCTCTGCTTCTCACACTGAACCCACTAATATATTGTCAAATCAGTTTTATCATTTGATGTTTTTGGAGAGCTGCTGTCTGTTTTATGATACCCAGCAGTGAACAAGAATCGAATGACAGAACATTCAGTTGGGACTCTTCTAAACATTTATTTGTTCATAAATACAGTTGACATGAAAGAGACGGTTGGACCACGTATGGTCAAATCCTGAGTTTACAACTATGATGTCATCTGACAAAATCAATAAATAAATACGTAAATTGTGTGCTGTGATTTTAGCTGTATGTAGTAAAATGATCACTCAGAGATAAAGTTACAGAATATCTTTCTTATTTTATCTCTAACACAGAGCACAGCCTCCATCTGGGATCCACAACAGTTTTCAAATACTGTATCTCCTCATAAAGTGACCAAGGATTTTATTTACCTCAATTCAAAGGACTTTTATTAGAGGCAGTTCTTTCTTTCTAACTCGCTCTGTTTGATATGTGTGACTGGTCATAGTGATAGTACAAAGCCTCAATTTCAGTAGCTCCCGTTTACTGTTAAAGTTACTTGTCTCACTTCCTCCCTCTCTCCTGCTCTCTCTCTGCTCGGTATGTCTCATGTTTAGTTATTCCCCTGCCTCCTTTAGTAATAATGATATATGTAATGAAAGTAGATTATTTGCCGTAATGGAGGTGAGGCTCAGTGAATTGGAAGAGCGCCTCCACTTCCCTGCAGCTCGTAAGCAGCCGGAAAAAAACCAGAGCGACTGGGTAACTGCCTGCAACGGGAGGTGTAGCCCTAAGCCCCCGGTTGGCATCCATACACAGTCCAGCCGTATACCAGGTTTATACCCAGTCTCTAAAGTCTCTAAATCTAGCGACAATACACTAAGTTGGAAACGCTGCGGGCTGTAAACGCTAATAGAGACTGTTAGCGCCAATTCACTCTGGAAGAGCAATGGCCAATGGGGAAACTCCAACTCAGTCACATGGCATTCGGCTGACCAATGGTAGAAAGGTAGAATGGTAAATGGACTTGCACTAATATAGCGCTTTTGTAGTCTTACTGACCACTCAAAGTGCTATATACTTGCCACATTGACCCTTTAACTCACACATTCAGATCTCACACTCATACACTGATGGAATAGCCAGTGAAATATCACTATCAATAAATTGTGATTATAAGGCTGGCCCCCACTGTTGCAGGCCAGCCAAAAATGATTTAAGACATAATACAAACATTGCCATCACATTTTTGGCAACTTGAGTGTGTTGTTGCCACTCAAGTTTCTTGGTGAAAAGTTTCTATCATTATAACCTGGGCCTGACCGTCTGTGCTCTGCGTCCAGTGTATGGTAAATGGTCGCCGCATTTTCCTGCTGACAGCCCAACATTCTTATTAACCTGTGAGCAAATGCTTTTTGAGCCATAAAATGTTTGCCAGGAAATTTGCACAGACATTTCATCAGTTTCAGAACAATTAAAGGCAAAGGGCTGCTTTTTCTCTATCATTTCCTTATGTTCCTCAGCAGGTCAAGGTCAGGGTCATTTTAAAAAACACATATGTCTGGCTATAAACAAAAATAATACTAAGGTCAAAAGCTGAAAAATGGCTTCAGAGTTAGTGTAAGTTGGTTTAAATGTAGGTGTCCTCATGCCTTTGTGTCAACATGATGAGTGTGTATGTGGAACACATCCAAGTGTGAATGTGCATCGACTGTGTAGTCACATTTGGTGCGTATGTGTTTTTGCGTGTGTGTACCTGCATTCATGCACTCTCCACAAGTCAACACAGGTGAATGGGGGGCTACATTGGTTCCTTTTGCAGGAGTCAGACGAGCACCCAAGGGAGAGGCCTTGTATGCTGACCTGGGACACCCCATCTCGCGGCTGGCTGTCTAGTGGCATATAGCGACCATTGAGGCGTAAGTCCCGCATGCAGCCTGCGAGAAGAAAAATGGAAAACAGATTTCAGTGGAACAAGAAATACACTGTTATCTACATTCCCCTGCACAGACACAAAATTTAATTATACAGAGCCTCATGTAGCCAGTGAGCAAATCAACATGTCCTTGATAGATTACTGGTTCCAATTCTAACACTTACAGCATGTTTCCACTGTGTTTTTTTAAGACCCACACTGCTCTGTCACATTCAGTGCTACCCAAGGTTTAGCAAAATATCTTTTTTTGTGGAAACAGTGGTTCAGTGATCTTCTTGTTGGTGTGTTTATTGCAGCGTCTCAAAATGCCATTCAAACTGTTTTGAAGTACACTGAAGGCAAAGATCTGCATTGCATGCATGTACGATATCCATGGCGCACTGATAGCTGTGCTGTTAACATATGTCACTGCTTTGCTGGGTTACATGCCTGATGTACTTATCAAAGGGAGGGAAACATATCTGAAAGGCTGCTTGCACAAGGCTGCACATAGAAAAACATGTTGTTCAACCAGAGAAACATGGCAAATAGAAGCAAAAATGCATCCACTGAGAACAAACTCCATTGGCTCTGGATCCTCTGAGATGCTACCTGATTTGGAAATCCCTTCATATAACAATACTTAGAACCGACCAAAGTGAGTACTCAGTTCTGTCAACATGGTGACATTGCTAAAAATGAGCAACAAAAAGAAGAATAAACAGACCCGCGGGTTAGCTAAACGTCTTCCAAAGAGAAATCAAAGGTCGATCCATTGTAAACATCACAACACATACATGGACTCCCTGGTTCAGCTTTAAACTACTGGACTTGCCATAGTTTAGTCAACCGGTTATTATGTGAATGAAGAATATGTACAGCACTGATATTTTGAGTGTCTACTCTGACCTTGTAACTCCCCACAATGAAGCAGCAAGCTCAGAAAAGCAAGCAGTGGAGGAGCGACTTTATCGCTGAAACATTACGACCATTGAATGTGAGTATTTTAATTGATGACTTTGTCCTGCTTATCATTTAATTGTCTCTGGCAGCCATTGTTGTTTTTCTTCTTAATCTCAATGTTTCAACTGATATTTTTTTTTTTTTTTTACCCTTGCTGTCATTTATTCGTCTCTTGCGGCCCTTTGTTTTTGTTTTAATTTTAGCTCTTGGTGGCAATGTTGTGTTTGATCATATTACTATTGCTTCTACTTTTAAAGTAAACGTTTCAATTAGTCAACAAATCAATAACCTTCCTTCCCAGGGGAATGTAGACTCGGAGCCTACGGGCAGTTGCTGAGGTGGAGGTGAGCGCCGTGGCAGCAGGCATGGCAGCAAAAGGGTGAGCCGAGCACTGATGACACTCCAGTCGTTGCAAGGGTGTGCTGGATACATGTTTCAGCAAGAAGACTATGTGAGTAAAGAAAAAGACTAAAGTTGATAGCTTGTACTAGATAGCATCATTGTGTGAGCTGTTTTCCTGAGCAAAGAATAATTAATGTCTACATCACTTTTCATTCTAAATAAATAATACTGTAAAACTGTTTTCTTTTACATCTACCTTATCTTTTTTACTTTCTATCTTACCCACCTCATTTAACAATGTAGCAGTATTGTCATGATGTAACAAGAAAAAAAAACTGGACCACCCTTTAATTGCAATAGATTGTACTAACTTGAAACCTCTAAAAGCAACTCTAAAATAAATGACATTAATGTTAAATGATGTCTGGCTACACAGGAGCACACACACTCATCCTTGTTTTACTATAGTCATGGGTACCTGCCATCGACAATGTCTTCCATATCCCCTCACCCTGATCGTAACCACCACGTTGTCTAACCCTCACCCTCTTTGAACATGAACCCCGAAAACCAACTCTTAACCCTCAAAAAGCCATCTAAACCTGTGGTCCCCCAAAGCAATTGGACCCCATAAATATAGCAAAGCAAGCACACACACACGCACACACACACACACACACACACACACGTACATACTCCCCGCCATCATCTATCACGTCTGCCTCTTTTGAAGGGAAATGCTTTTAAAGTCCATTTAATAAACACATGCATTGTCTTTTACTGCCTGAGGCACAGCTGTCTACACCTCTCACCGTCTCACTGTCTAACTCCAGGGAGCTCTCTCTCTCTCTCTCTCACTTTATATCTGTGTCTCTCTATAGTTCTGACCTCTTACTCTTTCTGTTATCATACGGTATTCTGCCTTTTTCTAGTTTCTATGTATCCTCCCCCAAACTCTTTGTCTGAGTCATTTCACTGCACCAGCCAACATTTGTGTTCACATGTGCAACCCCTGTCTTCTCTCTCCGTCTCTCTTATACAACCACCAACTGAAAATCTACCACATACTGTATATTATGACTCATTTCACTGACCTAAATTAAGCCAAATCAGTATGTTTGGTAAATGAATTCTTTCAGACTGGCGTAGCCTACGCCTCAGAACGAACCACCAATCAGCATGTGTTCAGGCCCTTAGTGTGGGTTTATTCATAAGAGAGAAAGTGAAGCTGTTTTGTGGTATTGTGGTAGTGGTACTGTTCCACCTAGCAGTTTTAAATAGTTTGGGAAATAAGCTTATTCACTTTGTACAGTAAATGTGAAGCTAAAGCCACAAGATGACTAGTGTAGCTTAGCTACTCAAGAACCCTGCAGAGCTCCTGAGTTTTGCTTACCGGTAGCTGAGTATTGCAATGGGGATTGACCCACAAAGTTAGCTGCAACCTTAGTGAGCAGTGAAGGAGCATGAACATATTTTTCATTCACATGATAAAGCCTTGTCATGGCCGTAGTGATTATGAAAGAGGCCCAAAGCAATGACAAACAACAAAAAGAAAAGACAGAAGAAGAAGAATAGAAGAAGGGAGCGTTTCGTGAATCTGCGTTATTACGTCTGCTTGCTTTTTGCAGAAGTGGAAGAATCAAAAAAAAAGTATCAAAGTAATGAGACAGTACAGCCAGGCTGGGGCTAACTGGTTACCATGCTAACTTCAGTAGAGGAAAATTAATTATAGAATTGGAAGCTAAACAAGAGGGTTGCTTTCTACCACTGGAGACAGCTCTTGATGAGTAAAAGAATAGTTTGATGTTGAACTCACGTTTCTTCGAGACTGGTTTAAACCTAACTCATTTTTCAACAGTGATTTGTAACAGTTTGGGAAGACACAGATAAATGATGTTGTCCTGTAAATAGTTTTTATGGCGAATAGACTAACAAAATATTTAATTTTGTTATCATTTAGTTTGGAGAATTTAAAATATTCTGAAGATGGATACAGGTAAGAGAGGGCATGAACTTGTTCAGATCTATTTATGATATCACATAGCTGCAACAAATATATATTAATATATTAAATATATGTTCTTGAAAGTCATAATACATGACCTTTTTTACTGTACAGTACAAAAAATAATAAGAGGTCAACTTCACAGGTGTATATAAATCACCCTATCCTAACTTAAAGATGCCCACATGAACACACACACACACACACACACACACACACACAAAGACATAAACACATAGGAAAAGTGCTAACTTATCACAACAAAACACACGCTTACTAGGACTACTTACATGTAAGATTTGTGGTGTACTAACATCTCACACACACACACACACACACACACACACACACACACACACACACACACACACACACACACACACTCACTCACACACAGAGAGACACTTAAACAAGTGCTCCACCCCTTACTCCCTGGTGTCCTCACAAGCCGTGCTGTGGGGATGGACATCATCCCAGCTAACAATGAAGATGCATTTGGGTGAATTAGCCATTAAACTGTCATATCAATCATTCATAAACACATAAAAAGATCACAATTCTCCCTAGAAAATTGTATGAATAGATAAAAAGGACCCTATTTCTGGTAGCACTTTTCAAGAGGAATATTTAAGGAATACTTAAACTGTCTCATGTGCCCTGACTGACACACAACCCTTTTCACTTTGCCCTGCAACACGTCAAACACAGCACATCCTCTGTCTTGCTCTCCCCATACACAGAAAATGTTATACTGTGAAAAAAATGAGCCCGAAGGTCGTCAGTGCAGCAACTTATTACAATCTATAGTTACATTTTATTGTTAGGTGACCTCTGGCAGCTGTAGTAATTATGACGGGGGCAAAGAACGAAGTTAAGTCATGGAGTATGAGGAGTGAAATTAGGAGGGAAACGTAGGAGGCCGCTGTTTGTTTCCCATGTGAAACCAACATTGTTTCTTTCATCCATGACTGTTCTTCACCTTTCACCATGTGTTTGTTACTGTGTGTGTTATTGTAATCATCATGACAAAGGTCCCGTACAGTCACCCCTGGTATACTCCTATGCCTTGTATCTAAGGTTAGGGACAAACAACCTATATAAGTGTTTAAGCTGGAGCATTTGTTGTATGTTAAATTCAGTCTGGATTGGTGTTTGGATGGAGCCTAGCAGACATTCTTCAGTGTTATTTTGCCATTTTGCCATTGTGAGATCCCTTAGTTCTCCACTGAAAGGGCCATTCAGGAAGATTTATAGTGTTGTGTGTCATACCCTTTCTTCCATTCTCGGTAGAAAATGTTTACTTCTTAACTATTCAGTCCTTCCAGCATTCATCTGGCTGAGCCATGTAAAGATGACTCCCTTGAATGATAAAAAGAATGATCAGTGATTTTTGTGCTGTTCTTCACAAAATCATTTAAAAAATGGGGCATCAAGGTGAGAACCAAAAAGAGGATTATTGGGATGGTTTGCACCACCACATAGAATAAAAAAAACAAAACAAAAACAAATAAAATTTGCACAATTAGGATTGATGGTATGCTGAAATTATCAAGCAATTTTGGTGTACTTCTCCTTTCGTGCGGTACCCATTCCTTATCTAATTATCTAGTGTGATTAGATTAGAACTGGCAGTGCGCTGATCCGAAAACTACTGCACTTAATACACTCACTATGCATGACTACCTCACACAACTCCACGTCAAATAACCCAAACTATCCCTTTCAGTCTACAAGGGAACTCAACTTGTTCTGACTTTGTGACATGTTACGAGAGGCTACGTCACTTCCTCTGACTGGTGTGATGCTCCAAGCCTTGCAATCTTTGCGGGTCGTTCACAGCTTTGCCAGTTTGAGGTGACACAGCCTTTTTGGAAGAACTACATGAACGACATGTGAATTGTGAACTTGTTCAAGAAGGGACCCCTGACAAAAACAGCAGATCTGATGCAAAGAAGAGAATTTTCTAGATACCAGATTGAAAAAAAAGTTCATCGAAAATTCATTTCAAGTTTAGCAACCTTTTTCTCTTACAGGGACAAGAACAGCACAGCAGATCACTGTCACATCATATCACAGGAGTCTTCAAGTGTTTTTGAAAGTTAAACTTGACTTTTTATTAAATTTTTAATCTTTCATTTTTTTTTTTTTTTTTTTTTTTTTTTTTTAGACAACAAACCTTAGACTTGCAAAAGTTTTCATGTCCAAAGTACAGACAAGTGACAAATTAAAGGAAAAAGCAACATAAAGTGTCACGGCTCTAGCTGTGAATATCTCCTTTTCTCCTGTGTTCCCCTGTGTGTCCATGTGTGTATGTGTAGTAGGTGTGGCTAACCTCTCCTGGCTTCTGGCAGCTCTCCACACCTGTGCTCAATCAACTCATCACTCACAGCCTCAAGTACTTCAATCTTCCTCCCGCTCATCGCCAGATTGTTCAGCCAGTCGACGTGGTAGAAGCGCTCTTGGCCGCTCAGTATTATTTACTGGAGTAATTCCTCTGGTGCCTCACTAATAATACTTCTCCAGTGCTTCAGGACTCCAGTGCCGCACCTAAGCTCCATTTCTTCAAGCCGCTGGATGCTTACCATCTGCACCGTGCCATTCACCTCCAGCCATCAACCTGTCTCCACCAACTCCTTCCAACCGCTCTCCATTTCTCTAGCCCTCAGCGATTTCCCCAACCGCCTCAGCCCCATCCTCTCCATTCCCTCCATCTCCCCCTCGATCTTTTCCTTATTAAAACATCTTTCAGTGAGTTTCTGTGTCTGCTTCTGGGTCCTGATTCGAAAAAACCCAACTGTTAGATTAGTAAGGTGTCAGTCCACCTTGTGCTGTCAGAACAGCTTCAGTGCTCATTGGCATTGATTCTCCAAGTATCTGGACTCTACTGGAGGGATGAACACCATTCTTTATTCATTCGTTGTTTTGATGATGGTGGTGGTGGTAACATGTCGGTCCTAAATCTCCCATAGGTGTTGAACCGGGTTGAGATCTGGTGACTGTGAAGGTCACAGCATATGATTCACATCATCATCATTTTCATACTCATCAAACCGGTCAGTGTGGTTTATATGTTGCCTTTCCTGTGTATTTTTAAAGGCTCAGTTACATTAACTGACTGCGACTCCAGATGAGTTTCTGAATACTCTACACATACTTTATATGCAAGTCCAGACAGAAAGCAGCCTTCCCAGGTCTGCTGTGCTTTCAGTCTTGATAACCATTGGACTTAGAAAGCTCTTAGGGGAATCGTATAGAAACAGGAAGGGGGAGTAGAAGGAAACATAACAGGCAGCAGTCCACATCTGGCGAATCGGACAGTAATCCCTGAAAATCCTGATTGAGGTTGTTTTAGAAATCTCTATGGGACATTAAAAAAGTTTTATACGTAGCCGCGTTTCGACAAACGTTTCAAAAGTTCCAGGTAATTTTCTTCAGGAGCTAAAAGGTTCCTGTGGCCCATTGTTGTCTGCATTTCCACCGCTGCCTAAAGTCCCGGGAAGATTATGCAAAATTATTACTTGACATTACATTATTCACAGCAGTTGAGGACATACGGAAATGCGGGACAGATAGCGTCCAGTATATATTCAATACAGGACGCAGCATTTTATTTTTAAATACGGGACGATCCTGTATCCTGTTTGACAAGTTATCCTTCAGCCTCGAGCTTCTCCAGCTGTTCCCAATGCAGAGGTACAGTACGTGACAGCTGCCCAGTGTGACTGCAAAGCAAAGTGACTCTGGGAAGTGCGGCAAAGAGCTTGGGATTCAGCCTACAGTGTATCCACTTCACAAAAACCTTCACATGTGCTGCTCTTAACACCTGGATCCCTGAGATCAGTCCTTTGATGCACAGGACAAAACTGACCACCAATGAAAACACTTGCAAATCATAATAAATCTCCAATAGTGTGTTCCCAACTCTTGTCAGAGATTAATTTACAGGAAATTCAGTGGAGGATCCTTAAATGTAACTCCGATAGACACATGCAGATTTTGTTTTAAGTGAAATATGCTGTAATCACTTACCCTGGAAACTTTTGTTGATTGCAGATGGGAAGGTATTTCCCAGAATCACCACACTGGGGTCAATTATGATTTCTCGGCTACGGCCCCGCGATCCCGTGACCTCCCGCTGCCCTCCACCACCGTCCAGTCGCAGTGTCATCTCGTTGTCATGCCGATCTAAGATGACCTCATGCCATTCCCCGTTGTCAAGGCGATAGGTGGGCAGGGTTAGGTTGTAGTCCCCATCACCAAGGTTGTAGAACACACAGAGGAGGCCCTGGAAGATCTGCAATGGCAGGAGAAGACATTTAGTGAGAGGCTTACATTTGGCCTCAGGGGGTTCGGTCTGGAATTGAACATTTTTCTTTTTGTGAACCAAAATTCAAACATAATTGCCACATATCGGGATACTGTATTTTATTGTTTATTAAAGGTATTTTAAAATAATTTCAAAATAACTCCCACACAGCAAACAAATACATAGTTTAAAAGATTAAACCATCGTTTAGCTAAATGAGTCTATTTGAAATGCGCTGGATTCACACATAATTTAGGGGCTTGACATTAGCACGATACACTAGTAAAATACTAATGAACAGTGTGTATTCTATTCATCAAAGCAGCTATGTATGGAACCTTTCCTTACTGCTTCTCCCATAGATTTGTTCTGCTTTTTTTTCTTAATGCTAATCATTAAAGAAGCAAGCCATTTTTATTTTTATTTTTTTTTGAACATTTGTTTCTACAAATCACACGGACTCATCTATGAAGTGTAGAGACTGCACTAAAAAGTCCATCACCATTAAGACTGAGCAAAACAAATCATTCTTTGTTTTGATTAATTATTAGATCTTTCACAACTTTCAGATGAATGACTCATTTTCTTTGTTGCTGTCTGAAAACAGCAACAGGCCTTGTTGCTAAGTTAGTTAGCATTCTGTTTTCTTCCATTGAATAAAATTTCAATGATGATGAGATTGTTTGACAATCATGAATAATTACTGAGTGAAAAACCTGTGGCAGGAGGCTTCGTGAGCCGAGTGCTAACAGGTCTCTTGAAGAGGACAGTGGTCATTATTTAAATGTCAAGGCAGAGGTTTTACTCTATTTCAACATTTAACTGAGTCAGTTGCTTAACACAATATAGTTGAACTTTGATAAAACAGAGAGATTGTCTGAGTTGGCTTATAGCACAATAACTTACTAATACACAACTTCAGGTTTTAATCGTTTATCACATTGTGATGTCTGCAAACTGCAAAATCTGTACATCAAATGGCAACAGTCGATTTTCCATAATAAATGACCAAAAACCTGTAAGGCTAGCCAACTCTGGCTAAGCACAGCTAGTGACGTTGTGCTGTATGCTATAAGTGCACAGAGCTACAACAATATGAAGATACTAAAACACACAAAGAGGGTGAGCTTGACTAGTTCTGTTTGGGCTATACATGTGCACTGTCACTGATTACTGAAGAAAACTGGACAGTGGTAAGGCCGAACAATTAATCGAAATATTATCGAAATTGCAATATGGCTAGGTCAAATATCCAAATCACAGGAGCTGCAGTTTTTTGACAAAGGTCAAATATGGAACAACAGACCATATATGAAGCACTGCGATGCTACAGAGACGCCATGGCCTGCAGACATAAAGGAACATGCTTGTTTGGTACAAGCCCCAACAAAAATCACATCATCATCATTTCTGTTTTTTTTTTCAATGAGAATTAAAATGAAAGGAGAATGAAAACCATTCTCACTAAAAACATGACTCATAACGCAATCGCAATATCTGCCAATATATTCACTATAATTGTGTTTATATGGTTCAGCTCTATAGGGGGTGGCTGGGAATAATAACCATTTTCCCATAAAACACATCATAAAACTAACTGATGATTTGAAAGTAAAACATGTTGCTGCAATGTTTCTTGTGGGTGTAGTGCAATAAGAATTAATTCTCAAATAACCGGTCTATATATACCTCGGTAAAGAAAGGACCAGGCCTTTGTTTGCCAGCTGTCTCCCAGCAGAATGGAGCTGAATATTATTTGGGTTTTGGTACATCACACTTCTAAAACTACACTTGAAAACAACAAAGTCTTTTAACAGAAACCTGCTTTCTCTGGAATATCGACAAACCTCACTGTGAAAGGTTTTCAGTGAGGAAGATTTTTCTTCCAAACTAAAACTCCCATCCATCTGCCTGTGAGGAGAAAGACAAGGCCTCCGAATGCATCCTTTGATGCTTTGAGTGGCACAAACCAATTGACATCTGCGTCTTTGTTCTGAGACAGTGGCAGAAGTCTCAGCAAGCGCAGATCTCAAAAAACCTCAGAAAATCAAATCAAAACTATCTACATGGCAAGACACCACTGGGGGGTAAATAGGGAAAATATGCTGAACTGACCCGAATCCGAGTCTCAGGTTTTAACGCTAATGGGGATCAGAAGAAAGAAAAAAATTTCACTTAGCCGGTGAAAGACCGGATCGATACGCCAAGTTGGCCAGTTAGTCAATAACTCAGATCGAATCCCTGGAGGTTCGCAAACCCAGGGAAAATGAAGAAGTCCCATATTGTAAAGTGACATTTCAAAGTATTTGATGATGGTACAATCTCCTCCAGATAGAACAAACAAATGTGAAAACAGCCCATCACCTACACCCCAGAGTTTGCGTTCACTAAGCGGCGGTGCTGTTGTTTTACCATAATATGATCACAAAGCACTGGAGGGAAGCTCGTTGTCATTTGTGCTGTTGCTATGGACCTAAAATCAATTTTAGATAAGGGACTGTTCTTGTAAAGCTGACATTTCAGCTTGCAATTTGTTGACTTGTACAAACATGCCATGCTGTCAGTGCCATCTAGACACACACACACACACACACACACACACACACACACACACACACACACACACACACACACACACACACACTGTCCGTCACCAGAAGGACAACTTATTGAGGAAAAATTGTCTTGAGGAAGTGATGTGGGGACAGCAAGGAAATGGAGAGACAGGAAATAAGAGAATTCATGGAGTGAAGTGAGAATGAGGGGAAGGAAAAAAAAACAAACACTTTTCTCATGTTTACACAACAAGATGTTTCCCTCCGCCCTTAGATCTCGAGATGAAAACGGTTCCATTTTAACTTGGCGGCGATGCTAATCACATGTCGATCACAGAGCAATATTCATTTAAAACAAATCCGGCAGCCTGTGTTTCTGTGTGTGTGTGTGTGTGTGAAAGAGAGAGAGAGAGAGAGAGAGAGAGAGTGTGAGAGAGAAAGTCTGAAGGCCATTTTGAGAGGGATGGGTGGGTGGGTCGTCCTAATTTCAATTTCAAACTGTTTCCTCCAAGTGTCCCACTGAGCATAATTTTCTCTCCTCCATCTTCGTCTGCCGCCACCGCCACGTAAACAGAGGACTGAGATGAGAGGGGCAGAGAGACAGAGACACACAGAGATGTAAAGGAGAAGTGGGCGGCTACCATTAATGCCCCCCCCCTTCTCCATATAATAAAGACAAGCCAAAAAATAAATACATAAAAAACATCAAACCAGCCATCACTTGTCAACTCTCTCTGTAACTCTCTACCAATTTCCCTGCCCCCCCCCCCCATTATTCTCTGCCACAACAAGCCCCTGCTCGCACACTTATCTTTCCATTTTCCACCCATGTCTGTCTCAGTCGCTCCTTCTACCCTTAAAGCAGCCGAGTAAACTGCTGGACGGCTCCAAGGTTGTTTAGTTGGAGAACCGAGGCTCATTTCAAGGCTCTGTGATGAAGTATTAATTATATTTAGAATCCACTGGGGCAGCGCTTTTTAACCAGACGCACTCACAGCCACCTGATTTTACCCCCAATTAAAGCTGAGCGGAGCCGAGCAATTTAGCTCCTGCTTTGCTCCCTGGGTGGTGTGTGAGTGAATGTGCTCGACAGTGTGTGTGTATATGTGTGTGCTGGTGTGAGTCTTCGCGGGAGCATCATATAGTAGGTGTGTATGAAGGTGTGTGTGTGTGTGTGTGTGTGTGTGTGTGTGTGTGTGTGTGTGTGAGAGACTCCATTTTTGAGTAAACAGTCCCACTGCAGGGACAGTTTCATTTCCCCCAGACACTTCCTTGCGACAGACTGCTTTCAATGCCGCAGCCTTTCTGTCTCACAGACGTGCAGATGATGTGTTAATCTGCCCTTTTCTCATGATTAAATAATGTGCACATGCAGCTTGTGTGCATGTATGAATGTCTTATGCATTTTTCTTCATCTAAAGCTGTAGTGGGGAATTAACCTGAACCCTATGCACATCACAAGCGCTCCTCACACATCCAGATGTCTGGTCTGCTGTGTGCTGCTTTAGAGGCTACATATTGATCTGGTCATAAAAAAAATACTATACGCTGCCGGGCAAATGGCATCACTTTTACTTACCAGCCTAAAGGAAGATGAGTGTAATTTATGTTAAATGCTCTGTGTAAATACCTGAAGCTCTGGCTTGCCGTCGATCTCTTACCATGTTTTTGTTAATGGAAGGTTTCATACAATTTACGAATAACAAAGTTTCCTGGAAAGACCTAATGCAATTTGGTGCCAATTATAGCAAAAAGATAACGTTGTTCAAATGAGAAAGTTTATCCTGCATATTTTGTGAATTGCATACTTGCCTGTATGTCATTCTTTAAAATACGTGTTATTCCACAGTCGAGGTAATCTGCCGTGTAAAAAGAAATGAACTCTGAGGGGAGTTTTCTTGTAAACAAACAATGAATTATGTTTACTTTCAGTGTTGCTCAATGAAATGCACTGAGGTGTAACAGACTGCACGTCCTTCCTCATAAAACAATTGTAAAGCTGGTTTTGTTTTTTTAAATCCAGCACAGTTTACCTTCCATTCTTCTTCTACCCTGCCTTTGATGGCACATTGCTGAATCTTCAGATGTTACCATCACCTGTTGATCAGTGGAATAGTGTGAAACTATTTGTAGGACTGTGTTTCACGTCACATTAACATAATAGGGACCGACTAATAGAGAAACAGCTCCATAGCTACTGGAAGGTCTGATCTTCAACCTGAATCTGAGGCAGGAAAGATACTGGTGCTATGGAAGACATCATGCTTGGTACTTTGCCCCAGTGACTTCAGACCAGTTGCCCTAACGTCACATATCAGGAAGGTACTGGAGAGACTGGTTTGTGGTCCATCTTGGACCGCAGGTGAAATCTCTTCTAGACCCTCTTCAGTTTCCTTACCAGGCTAATGTGGGGTTGGGCGATGCTGTCCTCCA